TAAAGTGAGTCTATAGGGAGTATTTCAGCCAAACATATAAATCTTACATTCATCATCATCATCATCATCACCCTAGTGCCGCAAAGGCTCCCACACCTTCGGTGGGGTAAGGGGGTCGGATGTACGCAGCCCAGCACTAAAGCACAGAGAGACTGTTTCCGGATGACCCATAGATATAAATCTTACATTATGTATAATTTTTCTAATATTTAAGTTTAATTTCATTTTGTCCTTATTTCTATTGCCTGTTTGCATACAGTAAGAGAATGTCACAAGCGCAAATAATAATGGGTTGTGTTGGGGGCCTTGGAGTATAAACCTTGCACTTTATGACCACTAACTCATAATTTCAACAGTTTGTGTTAGGTTATGAACTCCGGAAGAAGGGATCTCCGCATAATTGTTTGGATGACGCAATTACTGCAATGAAACTTGTTAAGGAAAAAATTGAGCATGATGTCATTGATTCTATACCTGAGGAGGTAACCACCACTTTGTACTGCACATTTCTTTCCAACCCAGCTAAAGTTGAACCCCCTTGTGCATCATTCCTTGAATGTAGGCTCAAGAAGATGCTAATACGAAGAAGCTGCTTGTCCACAGGATACCAGTTGGTGTTCCTTGTACTGATTTACATCAAATAATTTCCGGAGAATTCACTGTTGAAATGAGGGTTAGAATGTTATCACTTATCAGTATTTTCATTCAGTTTTATTTTTACCTTTACTAATCTCCACATAATTCCCTATTTTCATGTCGTTCCTGTTTAGCATGCAATACATTTTGGGCTTGGCTTGATATTCAATAATATGTGAATGAAATGCTTGCTTTATGAAGCTGGCAGCATCTTGCCCATTTAATTTAATGCAGCCATCTGTGGGTTCAGTACTTCCATCATTCTATACGTTAATACATAAACGTATTACCCATGAATTTTGTTTTCTTTTCACTTTCCAGTTGGTACTTGTGGTAACCCTCACCTTGCAAACCCATAAGATGTTTAACATCATACTCTGCCTTATATGTTGTGTCGTTAATATGTGGAAGTCCTAACCTCAAGAAATAAACCACGATTGCAGACACATAAGACGACCCAAGACAAGTATTCTGCACTGGCAATTTTCAAAAATCAGAAAGAGGCAAATGAGGCATTTGAAAAGCTTGAAGGTTCTGTTGAGAAGGTATTATTTCTCACGACCTCTGTTTTTCTCTCTCTTAGTTTCCCCCCCATAGTGCTTCAAAGCGTTGGAGTTGATTTTCTTTCACCTATAACATATGAGGCCATATTCAGACTATTTTGAAGCAATTAAATAGAAACTGAGAATATGGACTCATGTTCTTCCCTGTATAGGGGGATGGTTATGCAGTTTTATGTTTAGCTTCTTAAAGAGCTGTTTTAAATGTATGCAGTTTTACAGCATGGGTGTACACACTCCATTTAAATGTATTGTTACACATTTTACTAAATTAGGTTACATATTGATAAAGGTGTAAAGAAATAATTTGGATGTATAGCCTAACCACTCCAGTAAACTCTTGTGGTCTTTTGTCAAACCCTCCTGTTATTTTTCCCTGGTCTGGTTGGTATTTCAAAAGCAACGCTGTCAATGTCTTTCTCCCAGGATCCTTATGGACGGTCCCAGAAAATTATTTCATTTCTACACAACACCGGAGTCTTTGGACGTGTATGTGTTTGCAAGTTGGCCCGTGAAATTGCTGGTAAAGATAATGAAAACACGACAATCAAACGTCCATTACAAGATGAGGAACCCTCGAGGAAATGCAAGAAATTAAAGAAGGATCACCATACAGGCTCAGAGGAGCTTGAGAAGAAAGATAGTGACCAGTGTGAAACCCACTTGATGGAGATTGAAAGGTTGAAGGGAGAGCTTAGGCAGAGAGATAAAGAAATCACCAGCTTGAATAAAATCGTCATTGCACTCACTCGGAAACATGGTCTTTAGCACTCATCAGCGTGTTTATGGCTCTTCTAATTCGAAGTACGAGTTTCCTTAGTGTGAGTTCCAGTATTTAAATACTTTCTTAGCCTCAAATGGGACCTATTTATTATACCAATTTTGAAATTCTGAGTTGAATTTTTGTCGTCATTCTATGCACGGATTATTTCCGATTTAATGTTGTTTTGGAGGATGATGTCAGAAGTAGATACGCTAAGTTTTGAATTAAACACATTGTTAGATAGTTAGAGGTATGGATTGCTCTCCTGTAATTTAAACCTTGTGGCACAATCGGATGAATTTTTATTTGAGAAGGGTTCATTTGACTTTGTTGTATCATGTCATCTTCTAAAAAGCGTTATTAGTGAGTTATACCTTTTGTTGTGTATTAGACTTGCCAAAAAGCTGGTAGTTTAATTTAATTAAGGGAAAACTATCAAATAGGTCCCTGTACTATATTGAAAAAGTCAATTAGGTCCTTGTACTATTAAATCATCCAATCAAATCCCTCAACTATATAAAAATAGTCAATGTGGTATTCCCACCGGTAAACAACCGGTTCAAGGTCATCTTACACACCTCGATGATCAAGGTGGCAAGTTTACATTCTTCCTTTTTTCCTTCTGAATTTTCATTTTCTTTCCCTCCACTTTCTGGGCTGTCTTCTTCCACCCAAGCCCTAATTGAAACTTGAAAGTTTGCAACATCCTTTCTTCTTCTTCTTCTTCTTCTTCTTCTTTAATCTCTATTTCCTTCTTCCTTACTCCCACCCACCCAGAGGAAGACGAGTGCTATACTGCTATTAGTGATGGCGTGGAGCTGCTTTGATGTCACCCGAAAATGGAGGGATGGATGATGTGATGTCGCTGGACCATGGAGGGATGCTGCGAAGTCGCCGGAAGTTATGGGACATGTCCCGCCAGAGGTTGTTGAACTTCACTATCGAATCCGCAAGTTTAGTGATGAGTTTATGTGAATGTTCATTTGCCGACGGCCGACGCAGTTCGTTGTCCACAGAGAAAGGAACGGTCGGTTGGTGTGTTGGGTGACTTTGCAAAAGAAATGAGGGAAAAGAGGTCTTGTGTTTGTCAGTTGGTTCCTTGGCTCAAGAAGAAAGTCAAAGACAGAACAAAAAAGAAACGGAAGAAAGAAAGAAACACTTGCAGAGTTGCAGACGTCGAGTAAAGCAGGAGAAGAAAGAAAGAAGGAGAAAAAGAAAGAAAAAAAAAAGAAACAATATGCCACGTGTTATACAAAGTCAACTAAAGTCAACTATGAGTCTATGACCGGTGAAATTTTTAAACAACCGGTTAAAATTCAAAAATTGAGTGTTTTTATATAGTTGGAGCCTTGGAGGATCTAATTGAAGGATTTAGTAGTACAAGGACTTAATTTACTTTTTTGATATAGTACAGAGAACTGTTTGATAGTTTTCCCTTTAATTAATGACGAAAACATTCAGTTTTAGTTGATGTTATTTTCTCTCGCGACATGTTTTTTTATCTTTCTAATTTAACAAGTGTCAATTTGATATTTGAATTTGTCTTTGGTTGAATAAAAAGTAAATGAATTTACATAAAGCTCATGAAGTACTTCAATTTATCTTTGGTGGAGTAAGTTACACTATTTAAATCCATGAAATATTGATGGAGAATTTTGAAATTTTCATGAATAGTTAAAAAAAAATTTTGAGAAGGGTTCAAGATCTGTAATATTTTGATAGAACATATTATCAAATACGTAAAATTAAGAACTACTCCCTCCGCCCCCTATAATTGTCTCATTTTTTCATTTTTAAATATTCCCTTATTATTGTCTCATTTCATATTTGGTAACATTTGTGTGACTAATCCGTTCTTACTTTATTCTCATTTTATCAAGTCATTATCAACCACATAAGTACATAACCACACTTTTCTTAAAAATCACACCATTCTCTTCTATCCCAATATTAGGACGGAGAGAGTACAAAACATTTAATAAAATTACTAGTTAAATAAGTTGGTGCATTCTAATGCAAATGTTATTGTGACATGCCATTTTAGTACATCATTTTCATTTTCCGTGCCGACATAGCAACATACGCCAAAGATTGCAAGATTTGTATGTACTCCGTAGTATTATGTCATTATTTCTAGCTTAAATTCAAAATATTTAATGTAGTTGAAGAAAGTTCTATAATGACTCCTCAAAAATAAGTTGTTTTCTTAACTCCAATATAATCGATGTACTCTTTACTCTTTCTGAAACAAGTTGGAGTTCTTTATGAGCTTTAACGTGAGTTGGCGCACTCTTTACTAATTACTACCCCAGACAAATTCAAGTATCAAAATAACATTTGGAAATATACTTTTGTTGAATAAAATTACGACAAAAAACATTTCATCCAATTAAGTTAAAAAGCTAACCAACCACATTTTTATAGGGGAAAACTAATTCAAACGTCCTCAAATTTGGAGAATTATAAGAGTTGTGCATGTAATAAACATCATGGACTATACGTTATAAATGATCACAAAATGATGAACTCAATTATTTATTTGACGTATAGACACTTGGAATGTTGATACTTCTAAGCAAATGGCCACGCTTTACTCGTATTTGAGAAATCCTGAAAATTCACACAATTCAAATAATACTCGCTACAGGTATTCACGTCTCTTTAGATACAATTGAAAACCAATATAATAGTCACTAACAAGTCAATACCACACAAAAGTAGGGGTGGGCGGACCATCCCAGGACCTATCAGTTCCCAGTCCTGTGCCAGGATTCATTGCTTAAGGTACCCACAGATGGGTTTGGTTTATCCCGGTAAAGCTCCAGTTCCGAGCCAACTGCCCAGTTCTCGGGTCTAGTCAAGGCAGTTTCTAATCGAATTTTTCTGTTATCCTTCAAAAGAAATAGCAAATGATACCATTATGAAAACACTCAAAATTTGTTTTTTTTTTATTATTAACAACTTAAATGAGTACAATTAAAAATACTCCATTGAAACATTAAAAAATGGTCTTGCACTTGAAATTAAGTGGGGTATACGATACATCAAAACCTACATAGTTCTTTTACATTACTATATTATTGATAACTACGAACAAGATTGTATTTTCCACTCCACTCTCCACGCCAAAGGGGTCAGGGCTGCCGGCCAATTAGGCATTTTCCACGCTCTCCTTTTGGCCTATAATAATCCAGCTTAGGCAGTATAGTTTTAGCAGCTGCCTAAAGTTCCTTCAAACCTCTAAACGAGTAGATTTGATCTATTATTCTATATGACGTAATTAACAGAAATGGCGACAGCCAACAAAAATATGTTGCTGCATCACCTCAATTTTGAAAAGTAAAACACTAGAAGGGTAAGCCTCTGGATTCCAGTTAACCCGCACGACTCTTGTGACTAACTTTTGATGGGTGACCATGTCTGCCCTTAGACATCAGACAAGGGGTAGCCGCCAAATCTTTTGTCCCTATAACAACAAATTTCAGAATTTAATTCCATTAGTTGTCCTAAATCTGTCAAATTCTACAAATAATTCATGAACTTTAAACTTTTCACTCTTGTTTGTCTGGACTTAGACAAATCATTAATTCCTTCTATTAAAAAACAATTATTTTCTTTTGCTTCTATATAAACATTTTATAGAATTCCAAACTATATTCAAAACAAAACTTTAATATGTATAAAACCATACGTTTTTCTTACTCATTCTAATTAAAATGAAGTGTTTTATATGGGAAAGCCAAAAGCCTAAATGGATTAAATACTACTCTGTACTTGGAGTACTAGAATGAGCATTTTTTGATAACCATAATGGGGCTGAATGTCTTAATCATGAATGAATACTTAAAAATTTAACTTTATAAAATTAGTGTGTTGCGATGATTTTTGGTTATAAAATTTTAATCTATAAATTTTTTGGTTTGTATGATTTTTCATGTTACATGATATGTGTTGGTTAAAATCCAAAAACCAAATCAAAATTTGCACCCCACTAATTTAAACTTATACCTCATGTTTTATCATGGGGAGTGAAAATGGGATGGAAATCAAGATATTTATGGTGCATATACTAATGATTTCCATAATTGAGTGCAAACTCAGACTTATACAAACCAAGTGGGGTACAAACTCCAATTCCCCCTAAACTAAATCTAACCATATTTGTAGTTTTGTACTAATCGCGCTAATTGTTAAAACCCAAACTGAAAACCACATTTCCAGGTTTAGTTTTTCAGCTGCTTTAATTTTTCAAAAACTGATAACTAGAAGGAAACTAAAGGGTCTTATATCAATGATAGAAGCAACTACACCAACTCATCAATCAATGTTCAATTACTGCACTACTCTTCAATGTGGAGCCCCCCTTGGGAAAGAAAGGTAAAGAAAATTTGAACCTGTAGTGAAAGGGCCTATCATAATGCCTCTTTGATATTAAATGTTCTTGAAATTTCCCTCGCATGATCATACTCATTAAGTTCAACAAGCATCTTCTTCAGCCTACGAGCATGCTTTCCAGTCTCCTGCTCAGCTCCAGTCACCAAATGCTTCTTCTCCAGCATTTTACTCAGTATTAGCAAATAATCGACCAGTGGTTGCAATTTGGGACTACATACAAGTAAACAGCGATTATCAAAAACAAACATGCCAGATCGGGGGGGGGGGGGGGGGGGGGATGTGTGTGTGAGGTTGAAAATGAGTAAATGACTTATATTGACATTGGTTAATTTATGGGATAAATGAGTTGTACAAGTCCAGGGACAATAGGGAATTTTTTACCATGGTCTTTATAGAGTATTCGGCATTGGTGTATTACTTATTTTACCAAGTGGGGCAAATAATACCATTGCATAGGCCTGGGATTCGGTTCGTTTCTAGTTAAATTCAGTTCGGTTCTTACCATTTTTCAGTTCCTTGAAAAAATATTATCCTCCTAAAATGAACACATTTCACCTTCAGTTACATAAAAATATTCAAAATTCAAATTATGAAAATAAATTGTCAAGGTTATGGTCATTACATTATACATACTTCGTACATGATACATCCAATGTACACATATCACACAAATATTCAAGTGTAAACCTTAAGTTTAAACATAACAACAACATAAAGGTTTAAAATAGACATGAACTGATTAAGAAAAAGGGTTTAGTAGTTCCAATATACACATCCAATAGCAGATAGTTCAACTCCTATCAGGAATTTCCTGACTGGAACAATGTCTGGCCACCTCCATTTGAGGTGCTTGCGGGTGATTTTTATTTTTATTTTGATGAAATTTTGTGATATGGCCTTTTGATATAACCCACTCCATTAAGGTTTCAGGAAGCAGTCAGCTCCAGCCTGCAGGCTGCAGCTATCATCCCTGGAAACTATTTCTATGCACAACAAGTACTCCATCACTGTCCTAAGACGGAAATATTACACCCTTATAGTATGGTTGATCCGCAGTGAAGTGCAATGGAACCTGGCATTTTAATGCTTATGAAAGTAGAGATAGTGTGACTGTTGAAGGATGGAGTACATAAATAAACAATACCTTTTACCACCATTAACATTTGGACCAGCCCAGACACCATATAATGAAGCAACAATTCTTTCAGTTCTTGTAATTGCATCATCAATGTCTGATCTAATGCTCCGAAGATGGGGAAGAACCTTAGCACTTAAGAGCTCATCAAGAGCAAGCTTCTCCAAGATAGGAATTGCAAGAACATTATTCCACAAGCAAATATTCCTTATCAAACGGACAGACATGCCGAACCCATACGCTGCAACACGAGCTGCATTTGGTACAGCCTTCATTACAAGATTGTCCCATTTGGGAACCTATAAAAGTATGCATAAACACATCAATTGGAAAATCTCAGCATTAAACAAGCATGTTAAGACTTTAGCTAGGGATTTGAAAAGATACCACTAAATTAGCCACAGCATCAGCAAGCCGGTTGCGCAAAACAGTGACCAAATTGCCCAGAGCAGAACTAGACAGGGGAACATATCCAAACACCAATTTCATGGCAGACACGGCATATTCAGTTTCACGAGTGCTAAGCATGTCCCAACAGTATTCTAAATGATAGTGAAGGATAGGAATTGCAAGCTTTTCCACTAGTTGAGGAATAAGGTTTGCGTCAGCGTCAGCTTCATCAGATCTAATATCACTATCAACATTAGGAAGTCCATAGTTGTAGAGTAACGAATGCCTGGACATAAACAAAACTCATGACATACCACATAAAAAGGTTGAGTTTAAGCTCAAATATTTACCTAAGAAACACAGAAGTTTATTGAGTATATGACCAGGGGACATTCTACGGTTGGACATGAAAAATATTAGGTCATATTCATTACTCACAAACATGGGAGCAGATGCAGGCATGGAAACAATATAATAGAGGATGAAAAAAAGGCAAATGAACTGATTACAACATGTGTATACTCTAACCCTGGCTACATTAGGGTCAATGGCATGAGATTTATTATGCCAACTAATCGTCAAAGGAAATAACAGTCGGAAAGTCTTAAACTTTGACACGAAAAGGAAAAATGAAATGAAATTCCAAATTTGTCATCATCAAAGGAATTTTCAATTGCATGATAAATAACATGACAAATCAGAGTTCGGATGCCTATACTCTATTTTGCAATAGAATATATAATATATTAATCTTAAACTACCAATATAAATAGTTATGCCTATAATGAGGTAATAAAACAATTCTTTATCACCATGGTTCAGGATATGATAGGACTAATTAACTATGAGGTAAAGATTAGTCCAAGAAAGTATTTTTTCAATATTGACACTAACATAAATCTAGAACTATAGGATCAGACTCCAAGTAGAAGTATAACAAAAGAAATACCTAAAACATTACAAATTTTTTTTGTACAATTCTTTATCACCATCGTTCAGAATATGAGAAGATTAATCATGAGGGAAAGATTAGTACAAGAAAGTATTTCATCATTATCAGCACTTACATAAATCTAGGTTCTAGAACTATAGGATTAGACTCCAAGTAATTTTTTTTTTGGGAAGACTCCAAGTAAAAATATAACAAAAGAAATACCTAAAACATTTAAAACTTATTTTCGCTTCTATTTTGAATTTATTGATATTACTTTCTGATTAATTACTTTCTTTTGATCTACAGAGTACATACACTTCAATCATGTTAGAATTAGAGGCATTGTGATGCTTTTTCATGAGTATATGTCAGAAGATGCATTATGATTTCTAATACTACAAAAACTACCCTGTAAAGACCACAGTTAATCAACTTCTATGAGATCGAGAGACATACCATTCCATATCCCTGAAGTCTACATCTTCATGCAGAGGGTCCCATTTCAAAAGTTCTAATCTAACATAGGGTGAAAGAATAGCAGGAATGCTCAGAGACATATAAGCATCACGATAGCTTGAAGAATACTGTTTCTTCCATCTCTCAAACTTATTAACAACTACAGCTAATTGAGAGTATTCATCATGTGTGTCACCAAATATCTCTTCAGCAACCTGAAGCAACTGATCACGGTTTGATTTGTAGGCAGTACTCTCACTGTCACTTTCATCAGTGCTTGATTCTCCTTCTACTCGCTGATAGGAACTGTCATTTCTAATGGCAGACATTCTTTTAGCATCAGATTTAGCTCTCCTACGCTCTCGAGCCTTTTCTCTTCTTGTCATATCCATCCGTTTCTGTTGATTCACATCTCTACCGAATTCATCTAGCTTTACAGGTATATCTCTTAGCCTTCTTGCCTCAGCAGCTGCTTTTAGGGCAGCTTCTTTTGCAACAACTATTGTGGCTGCGGTGCCACCACGTTCACCAAAAATTTGCTTTGCTGCATTAATAGCATTTTCTAGTTCTCTCATTTCATCCTCATTATCGGAAGTTCTTCTATCTAAAATTGCCTCTGCCCGTGCTTTATGAAGTTTCTGCATCTGTTCTTCTAGTTCCTCTATGTAAGGAGCTTTCTCCTACCATGGGTAAAAAAATCAATCAAATGTTATATGGCTTTGATATAAATTATGTGACAGTGATTAAATTGGATTCATGTTCCTCATTTCGAGTTGCTTCCCAACCTTAATCAGGCAAGGTTCACTATGGTTCTAAGAGGTGCCAAATTCCTTTGTTTTGGATAACTAATGACCTAATTTCTAGCTACTTGAGTGCATGGGGTGATTTATTGGCCCTACTGCATTCCTGAAGGCTTAGAGATTTACTACCATGCAACATTAGACCTACAGTATTCCAGATGATTCTACAAAAATACAAACTAAATAAGTCATCATGTGATTCCATGATTCACACAAAAATAAGCACTAGATGTGAGGTGAATAAATAACATGTAATTCACTCAAAAAAACTAAAACCATGGCATCTGTTGTAAAATGAGATTCAGAGAAGAAAAATAAGATTTATAAATATGTAAGTCAAACTATCAATAGACCATACCTGCAAAAATGAACATATAACAGAAACAAAATCACGAAGGTTTTGCATAAAGATGTACTTTTCACCAGCAGCAGATAAAGAACTTTCCAATGAGGTCAAATTTGACAACGATGAAGACAAATTTTCTTCAGTCTTAGCCAATGATTTCACAGTGCGGCAATGAGATTCCTGACCAAGGAAATATGAAAAAAGCAGAGTTTATCACGAAGGGAACCTTTATGCTCAATATCTTTGTCATACAGGAAATTGTCAAGTAGATGGCGACTCAGATGTCATAAGGAAACATTTAAGCACATCAGCACTAAGACATGTATTTTCAATCTAAAATCTAAGTTGAGTAGCACATGTTGTACATAAAAACATTTAGTATGCATTGTTAAATACTTATGTTTCTCTGTGGACAGTGTTTATCTAGTCTAGAATAAGTAGATCTAAGCAATAATTATACTCACCACACTTCCTGTGTAAAAGGAGAACAGCAGGGCATGTTCATACAATGATTAAAATTCACACAGAAAGAGGAAAACATTACTCGTGTGAAGTGAATATTGATTGGTTTCAAGTGACATTATATAATTTCACTCTAAGTCAAGACTCAAGAGTTGCACGGATCACTTCGCAAGTAAATAGCATTTGAAATTCAGCTGAAGTAAGAACGTTTTGTCCCAAAATATATATGTACAACTTAAAAACAAAAGCAATTTAGGTAATTCCAGAATACCTTAAGCCTAGACACATTAGCAAGCAATGATTTCTTGGAAAGCTCAGCTTGTTGTGAAATTGAGAGAGCATCTGATCCAGGGAGGCTTCCTGGAATACTAGGACTAACAACAGGAGCACCAACAGTCTGCCCTGGGGAATATACACTAGCTCCAGAAACTGAATATCCATACCTAGTCTGCTGAACACTAGGAGCCACAGGGTTATTACTGACACCACCATCACTACCACTAACTCCTCTACTAGAACAATCATCCATCCTCTTCCCCAGGCCCTTCCTCACCTGCTCTTCTTCCCACATTTTATCCTCTTCATCCTCATCATACACGCAATCAACAGCAACATCCCTCTGTGACCCCCTAACCTCAAAATCCTCAAAGACTCCTCTCTTTCCCTGCTCAACTTTTTCCCCAAGGAACCCAATTCTCCCTTGAAACTCAGGCTCCTCGTCACTCAAACCCTCTGCTTCCCCATGATTGCTTCCTCCATCCAATGCAATGTAGTCTGGGGCAGCTGCTCTAGCTTGCCTGAGTCTCTCCCGTTTTGCCCTTATGGCATCTATCATTGCCTGGTCTGGTATCTCTGACCCAACATCATCAGTTCCCTTCAAGCCTTTTTCCAACCCCATAGAACCAAGTCTGTTCAATGTATCATCTCTATCCTGTCGCAGAGGCAGGCCTTGTCTCTCAACCGTCCCATCATCTTCTTCACTATCCTGTTCTTTCTCCAGCTCCTGTTCAACAGTACTAGTTGGCTTAACAAGCCCCTTCAATACAATTACAGGCTCGGCTGACTCGGGTTTGGGTTTAAGCTGAGTAGGGCGGGAGCCAGCTAGGGTTCTGGTATTCTTCTGGAGCTCAAGGAGAGCTTCTTTAGTGTAGGTACCAGCTTGGGGCTGCACATTGGATGGGAGAGAGGCCGCAGTAGGATTTCTTCCTTTCACTGTTGACAGCTTGTGAGAAGAGGAGGCCTTGACGGGGCGAGAGCTTGATGAGGAGGATCTAGAAGGCCGACTGAAAGGAGAATCCTCGGACTCTTCGTCATCCGCAAAGCTAAGTAGGCTCTTCGGAGCTAAGGTTGAAGGCTTTTTCGGCTTGCCGAAGCTGGCGACAGGTTTGGCTTGCGACTTAGCCAAGTTGCCATTCGGCGCGGAAACTGCAGACGTTTCAGCTTCATCTGCGTCCTCTCCACCACGGCGGCGGAAATTTCGGGCTTTCCCGCTCATGGGTCCGCAGAACACTCCTCCGATGGCCGTACCGGCAGGGTATTGTTCCGTTTTCCTTTCTCGTCAGGCTGCTCGCATCAACGATTCAAAGGCGTGAAGTCGGGGAAAGGAAGGAGGTCGTTAGTGGGCCAGAATAGACTCGTGTAGTCGTGTCGAACGGGCTCTTCTTAATTTATCGTATCCAGGCTCCAGAGTCATTCTTTTTAAACCCAGTGGTAAACCATCCTAAGATGATGGGGTAAGGGCCGGGAACACCTTACCATTTATTTATGAGTGAGGGAAGGAAAGGAAGTACAATGTGGGGGAATAGGCCAAAACTCACCTAAAAGTCAATTAGATAACATAAGGAAAATCAATAGCATCAAATTTTAGAATATTACTGAATCTATTGGATTTGACATCAACCCCCATACTAATTTCTTTGGCGGCGCAATTGACCTTTTTGTGGACAAGACTGAGGATGATGTGATTTTGATGCAAAATCCTACGAATGCAAGAGATGGTGAAGATTTGATCCCAATGATTGACGCATTCCAGATTAATGGCCTTGAAGACTTGTGGGTTATCTATTTGAATATTGTTGTAGGTGATTCCCGAGTCTCTACAAAACATGAGATAGTCATGGTAAGCCTCTAGAAAAGCTTTCACTACGGAGTTGGACAAAATACTACGGGTGTGATGGGAGGTCATGTGGCCCTTATGGTTGCGCACCAAAAACCCAAAGTTGTGGGAAAGGCCTTTTTGGATTTGAGCAATGTTAAGAGTTCTATGGTCGGCCCGGGGAGGGTTCCACAAGACCACTTTCGGTCTGCTTCTAAGGGTCTTAGTAGGACTCTTAATATCATTGAGGGAAATAATTTCTCGTCTGATATTATATATGGCCTCAGAATAATTAGGGGATATATCATCATAAAGGGTGATGTTTCTCATCTTCCAGAGGTTCCAAAGAATGACAATGTAAGTAATAAAAGATTTGTGGTGTGTCCAATTAGAATGGTATTAGTAAGGTTGCCTTCCAAATGATGACTCTGGACCTCAAAGTGTGATACCTTGAAAATTTGAAATAAAAATAAATAAATAAATAAATAAGTAAATCAGATAAGTTATATCTGATAAATCAAATGAAAGTAATATCAAAATATTTTTTTTATTATACTTGGTGTATAAAAATATGCGCACACTACATGCAATAGAATTAAACACTTATGTGGCATCGGAAAAAAATAAAATAAAAATAAAATGGAAATAAATCAGATAAAATATAGGTGACAGAATAAATAAATAAAAATGTTAAGAATATTATAAATTACTAATAATAGCATCAAATTAATAAATGAAAATATCAGATCATAAAACAATGGCACATGCTAAGATCACCTACCAAATAATGTATATACATTATGTACATATATCTAAACACATATATTTATATGTAAAACTCAAAATATATTTAAGTAATTAAAATAAAAATAATAATAAAATAAAATAAAATGAAACATCAATATAAATGGGAATCAAATCACGAATCAATACACATGCCATGTTCATCAACTACCAACCTATTATTATTATTATTATTATTATTATTATGTATAGACATTATTATTATTATTATTATTATTATTATTATTCATACAATTATCAAATAAATAAAATAACCCATAAGAACCATCTAGACCTATAAATACACCCTCTTAGCCATCCCAAACACTGCAAATCGGAAAGATAGAAGCTATATATACATATACATATATATACATAATCTCGCCGAAAAATTTATATCTATATTATTTTACGTATCAAACTTCGTAAAAACGATAGAGGAGGGTCTTGAGAGGTCTAGGAATACTTCCCAATAAATTCCAGACCGATTCGTAGTCACCGGAGTTGCTTAGACGTCGTCGGAGTGTCAAGTCGTGCAAACGGGTCTTCAGCAAAAGCGGACATTTGGCCGTAGATAGGGGTGGAGGAGCTTCGTCTCGACGTGAGGATCATTTTGCAACTTGAATCGTCGAAATCTGTTACCTGTAAGTAAAGTTATCGTTCGCCGAAGATTTCGTGATTCCAGTCGCCAAAATCGCAACCTGGAGAAGAGCTGGGAAGAAGACAACCCAGTCTTCTTGGGCCGGGTTGCGTATTTGGGCCGGTTCGGCCCATTTTCAATAAAAATTAAAAATAAAATAGTAAATGAAATAAATAAAATCTGGAAAAATATAAATTAAATACCTAGTATAAATATACATATTCGGACCAACCAAAATTGAAAGATAATATCTTTATCTATTTTTAATTGATTTAATTGTAATTGGTCCAATTTGTACATATTTAGTAAATAATTAACTAAATGACGAAATAAATTGTGAAATAATATTGGAATAAGCTAGATTAAATATATGACTAACTAGGACATTTGGGACCATTTATAATTAATAAAAATTACGATTAGCATAATTAATTGTAATTAAACCGCTTAATAGATATATGGAAACAAATGAATAAATAAAGGAAATAATTCTAAAATAAATAGCTGGACAACCTAGGTCAATGATAGACCCAAGCTATAGTTATGGATGGTTAGTAATTTATAAAAGTGACGATTAAGTTATTTAATTTAATTGAGCCATATAAACTAGTTAAGTAATTAAATAAGGAAATTTTGATATTAATAAATAAATAACTTAGATTAAAAATAATGTTCTGGAATAAAAATAATAATTTGAAATAAAATTAGTGGGTTAATATAAATAAATTAACTAAGTAGCGTGTACTTAATAATTTATTCAATTGACTTCGTTGGACTAGTTTAACTAAGTAATTAGTTTAATGGCTAAATTAGTCATAATATGGACTTAGTAATATTTTTGGACTATATAGTAAAAACAGAAAATTAAAACGAAATTAGTTTGATTATTGTCTTAACTGAATAAGATTAATGTATTTAGCTATATTGATATAATTAAACTTATTTAGTTGATAAAGTTAGTTCAATTAAATTGGTTAATAAAATAAATAAAACTGGGGGATTGAAATAGTTAATGAAATTGGGTTAGTTGGTATAAATAAACTATTGAACTAATTAAAGTGGTTATTGAGATTAGACTATCATTAGTGATTATTATTTCAAATTATTGCTTACATGAAATTATTATTAGAAGATTTATTAAATAAATTATGTAAATTATGTAAACTGAATTTTGGACTAAAAATACTTATTTAATCCGAAATAATGAAATCATTATATAATTAAACTAATTGGACCCGTTAACTATTTAACCAAATAAATTAAGAAAAACCGAGTTGGATTATTATAATTAAAGAAAATATTAAGAATGGACTGGAAATAAACATTTAGTAAGATTTATTAATTTAATATTTATATTTAAAGAAGGAATTATGAAGTTAAAGTAATTAAAGGTTGGATATATAAGAAATAACGAAATAGTAGAATAGTTATTGATTTAAAATTTTGATCAATATTAGAAGGAGAATTCAAGTGAAGATCAAGCTAGAGATTTTATTAAGGAGATTATCGCAATTTAAGGTAAGTTCTATGTCAACCAAAATGTTTTGCCTCGTACTTATATGTATGCAATATTTGAACTATGTGAACTATTTATGAATTGGAAATTATATGTTTGACATGGATTGGATATTTCGACTATATGAATATTGGTGGATTATTACCTTTTATGGATGATTAAATGTATATTTTTTTTATTAAAGGATATGATATTGGTGGATTTATATTTATTACAAAGGATATTTTGAAAAAAATGTGACAAGAATGATTTGGGGAGAACTTAAAGTTTTCATAATATATATCCTTACGTCTCTAGAGAAACACGAAGCGTGGGTGGTTAGGGCTACTACTACTTTTGGTGAAATTTATTTGGGTCGGTAACCAGTCCGACAATGACATACTCCGGTAGACCTCCCGGACTTTTATTTGAGGATCAAAGATCCTTTGGTGGTCGTGGTAGTAGTTACCTAATTTACCCCTGGACAATGTCCCTTGTGAGTAGGTGATAGAAAACATCCTGCCTACTTGAGTTTCTTACTACTTGGAATCCTTTTTAGAGGGTGTGCACACTTAAGGTAGAAATTCAGGTTCCAATTGGTGGTCGGTGGGAGCCGGAATTCCGGGATGAGTCGTAGATAACAATGACTCATTGGGTGTGACACTTCCAAAAAAAAATTAATAAAACAAAAAGTTAAATGTGAAACAAAATTTTAAGACAAAAGTGACATTTTTTTTAAGTTAATTAATAATTAAAATACTGACTTAATAAGTAAAGTAACATTTTAATAAATCGTTTGACTTTTCTACACACCCTTTGTAATTCACATGCGTAACCCACAATGGGTATTTACCACTCACGTTACTCATAACAATATAATACTAGTAAAAAAAATTAATAATAGTAATACTTATTATTAACAATAAATATAACATAGGTTGCTATATATTTGACGTTGTTTACTTATATACATCTACGTAGTGTAAGACTGCACATGCGTATAAGAGAATTAAGCGGCCGAACCGATTTTTAATGCATCAAACCCTAGGTCTAGAAACATCGGCCAAGCATATATATATATACATCGTTCGTTCATGGCCGCCGCAGAAGGAAATGGGATACACTTACGTAACCATATACGGATAGGAGAACCCCATATATACATATACACATATTATCGACGACCTTTTCACTTCGTGGCTGCAAAGGGAAAACGAACAGAACATCGCGACGACCATTCCTTCGCCATCGGAGGAAGAAAAACAGCAGCTGCTAGTTAGCGTCAACCTGGCACTTGTTCTGCCGCTGCGACAACTAGTTTACGCCAGAAGAGAAACTCGTGCGACTGAGGGAAAAGAATCTGCCGGAATGTTGAAACCGTGATGCTAGAGTAGGAGAAGCCAGTAGAGTTGGCGTCGGTACTGAGTTGACCGGACATCGTTTCTCCCGGAGACATCTGCTGTTGACATCTGCCGCCATCTTGGATCGACGAGGAAGACGACGATGGAACCGTACAAGGCGACTTTGGAAAAGATCGAGATATAGAAGCTTTGGTTAGGAATTATCGCGATTGAGGTAAGTTCTACATCAACCAAAATTATACTGTTCCTCGTAAATCTCTATATGATTATTTATTTGAAATTGTTTTAGTACTTTGTGAGATTTCTAGCATTTACATTTATACTTCATA